TGATTGAGGCTCAGTGCTGAATCCCGAGTGAGACATTGGGAGCTCCCTGCAATTGTTTCAAGCTGCACTTTATTTACCAGAGCTTGATTCAATAAAACCTTTAACGATTTAATGAGAGCAAGCTCTGTTCAGAACAGGCTCAGTGCAGGGATTGCACACAGGACCTGATTTGCTCCCATCTGCATTATGGAGCGAGGACAAAGCACTGATGCACACTAACACTGCTCTGAGTTTAACCATGACTGCAACGAAAGCACTGCTTGTGAACATGAACCACAGATGGGCAGCACGTGGACCTCCTGAGTACTGAATCCAGGCCTGGGGGGCTCAGTACAAGGAAGATGCAGAGCTCTTGGAGCAGGTGCAGAGGAGGGCACTGAGATGATCAGAGGGCTGGAGCAGCTCTCCTATGAGGAAAGGTTGAGGGAACTGGGATTGTTTAGCTTGGAGAAGAGAAGGCTGCAGGGAGACCTCATTGTGGCCTTCCAGTACTTGAATGGAGCTTATAAACAGGTCAGGTAATGGCTGTTTACAAGGATAGGTAGTGGTAGGACAAGGGGGAATGGTTTTAAAGTGAGGCAGGAGAGGTTCAGGCTGGATATGAGGAGGAAGTTTTTGAGCCAGAGGGTGGTGAGGCACTGGAACAGGTTGCCCAAGGAGGCTGTGGATGCCCCATCCCTGCAGGCATCCAAGGCCAGGCTGGATGTGGCTCTGGGCAGTCTGGTCTGCTGGTTGGCGATCTGCACACAGCAGGGGGTTGGAACTGGGTGAGCATTGTGCTCCTTTGCAACCCAGCCCATTCTGTCATCCTATGATTCTCTGCGGTGCATCCCAGAGGGCTCAGATGTGCTGGGAGTGCTCATCTGTAATGCCTTTAATCAGACTCGATGATGGATAAAATAGCACCAGGTGGAAACCCTCCTGGGAAGCTGCTAAAAGGCTGCTGAGCTGATGCCAAGCTGCATCTCCACTGACGTGGCTTCTCCCACCTTTTTGTGTCCTGCCTTTAGACACCTCCTGGCCAAGAGAGGACAGAATGTGTCATCAATGCATCTCAGCCTTTCACTCGTACTCTCTTTCCAAGCTCTGCTCCTTGTTTTTGGCAAAATGGGAAAGGCAAGAAAGGGAAAGGTGAAACATTAACGTACAGCAGCAAAACAACCCCTGGCACTGACCATAAGCATCACCTGTGGCAATCTCACAGCTGGATTTGGACGCATGAATGCCGAATCCCTTTCCTCCATTGGATTTTTTGCTCATTTAAATAAGAAATTAAAACCTGGAAGCATGGAGACACACTCCTCAATTCTTACCTTGCTGCTGGAGTTTGCCATTGCTTTCTCCATTTAACCCATAGAAGGGATGAATGGCCAAAAGCCCACCAGCAACTCCTTCAGTGCTACTGTAGGGAAAACAAAATGCCCCTCACATGGCAGTGTGTGTGGTCAAGGAACTCTGGTCATTTCATTTCAGGTGGGATATAAGAAAAGCTTTATTATCCAAAAGAGCAGTTGGGCACTGGCACAGCTGCCCAGAATTGGGAGGTCACCATTCCTGGGGGTGTTTCGAGTCTTCCTTATGCTCTGTACTGAATACATCCCTATTCCTTCAGTCACTTTTCCAGCCTTAACTCATAACCTAATTCTTTTCTTCACTTTTGATGACTTCTGAGCTCCCAGCACTGGCTGACCTTCCCACCACCCTTCCAGCTGACACATTAAATTAACAGCAGACATCCCACCAACCCTCCAATATCATAGAATCATCATAGAATCATAGAATCACAGAATGGCTTGGGTTGGAAGGGACCTCAAGGATGATGAAGCTCCAACTCCCCCACTGCAGGCAGGGCCACCAACCTCCACATTTCATACAAGACAAAAGCTGCCTGCATAGGAGCAGAAAATGTGAAGGTTTGCATTTCCAGCCATAGGTAACAGGAGCTGGGAGAAATCTAATTTGGTTTTCCTGACCACAAATTTATGGTGCTAACAAGGGAGTCTCCTCAAATGGAAGATTTCAGTTAAGTCACAACAACTGTTACCTTTACAATGAGGCACTGTGCCCATAACCACACAACAGATGCTTGCAACTCTGAGCAAGCTGCAAATTAGAACAAAACCAGTCAAAAAGACCGAGTTTAGCTGAAGCACTCATCTGCCTGAGTTATTTTTTGCTTTCTAAATGATATGCTACATATTGCTACACTAGAAATATGCTGCCATTCAAAGCCATTCCAGGTTATTTTTAAGGGCTTTTTTTGCTAAATGCCTCCCAAATGTATCTAAGTAGATGCAAAATTGACTGCATGGTCAGGTACTTCAGTATGATTTCTCTTCCACACCCAATGCTCAGCACAGAGCCAGTTGTGCTCTGGGACTCCCAGTTATAAATCACAGAATGATAGAATGGCCTGGGTTGCAAAGGAGCACAATGCTCATCCAGTTCCAACCCCCTGCTGTGTGCAGGGTCACCAACCAGCAGCCCAGGCTGCCCAGAGCCACATCCAGCCTGGCCTTGAATGCCTGCAGGGATGGGGCATCCACAGCCTCCTTGGGCAACCTGTTCCACTGCCTCACCACCCTCTGGCTGAAAAACTTCCTCCTCATATCCAACCTAAACCTCCCCTGTCTCACTTAAAGCCATTCCCCCTTGTCCTATCACCATCCACCCTCACAAACAGCCGTTCCCCCTCCTGTTTATCCGCTCCCTTCAAGTACTAAAAGGCCACAATGAGGTCTCCCCGCAGCCTTCTCTTCTCCAAGCTCAACAAGCCCAGTTCCCTCAACCCTTCCTCATAGGAGAGCTGCTCCAGCCCCTGATCATCTTAGTGGCTATACACTATATACCTAATAGTAGGTAATCTTTTAGCAACAAGTCACTCAAAGTCCCACCAATCTGCAGTGTGTCATCCAAAGCTCTTCTGGGCCACGTGCTGCAGTATCTCACCACGTCTCATCATGAAGGACAGACTCTGCAATTCATTTTGTAGCTCACAGACACTGACCATGGATATCTATAGAATCAGTTCGACTGGAAAAGACCTTCACGACCACTCAGCCCAACCACCAAACTGGCCTACTGAGTGCCACCACCAAACCTCATCCCTCCCTGCTACATCCACGCATGTCTTCAATACCAGCAGAGATGGGGATTTAAGACATCAAGGTTGGAAAAGCTCTCCAAGATCCCCAAGCCCAGCCCACCATGCCCACATCCTCAGTGTCACATCCCCATGGTTCTGAACACCCCCAGGGACGATGACCCCCTCCTCCCTGTGCAGCTGCACCACGACTCTTTGGAGAAGAAATTTTCCCTAATACCCAACCTGACCCTGCTCTGGTGCAACGTGAGTCCTTTACATCCTGTCCTGTCAATGCTTACCTCGGAATAGAGACTGAACCCCAATCAGAAGAAAAACCAGTCCAAAAATACAGTAACCATCAACAAGAGGAAGAGCTGTTTCTTCCCCAAATTGCCTTCTCCAGCAGTGTTTGGGAGGAGCATGCTCCCAGCAGGGAAGTGCCCCCAGCACCACTGCTCACAGCCACCCGTGGCACATTACCACCCAACATCAGCTCAGGGCTCCACAACATCTGTGAAGGAAGAGGGGCACAAAATAGGATTTATAAAGGTCCTCTTGTTCTTGAGGCACAGACCCTAGAAAACTGGCAAACTCAAAGAGTATGAAGTTGTAGGCTTCTCAGCCTGCCATAGGGCCCTGTAGGAGCAGGAGGCAGCATCTACACAGCATACAAACCAACCTTGCACAGAAAAGTGATGACGAAACAAAGCAGTTGTAGCATTCATTCAAAGAGCAACCAATCCCACACCTGTTGGAGCCACCAGTGTGCCCTGCTTGTTGCAAAACAGATGCCACATCCTTCCTCCATCCTAAACACCCTGTGCACAAACCTTATATGGGCTGTGAGGAGGAGATAGGATGGTACACATCTCTCCTCACCTTCATTTTTAGAAAGTGAAAGCACAAAGAGGTGCTACTGAACACAATTTTGAAGGCACCCGGTGCTGCTGTTAGGTTGATCTCTTTTCTCTGCACAACATCCTGCTCGAACAGCTGGGAAACAAGCCCTGCAATCTGACTGCGTGGGCTTCAAAATGCTGCATGCTCCCTCCTGGGCACCCAAGCAGGGGCTCTGTGCAGCCGCAGGGAAAGAAAACAGATCAGATGGATTGCTGTGGGAAAGAGCAAAGCACTGATGAAGACCAAAAACACAACAACTTCTCAAATTCTCCTCCACAATTGTCTCCACAAGTTCTGTTCTGCTGAATGAAGCCAGAGAATCATAGAATCACAGAATCACAAGGTTGGAAACGATCTATAAGATCATCTAGTCCAACCGTCTTCACATTACCACTGCTACCACAAGCACTAAACCAGATCTCGCAGCTCCTCGTCCAGACAATGTCAGTCATGTGCTGGCACTTCCCACTTTTGTAATGTGGGAGGATTTGGTGCACTTTTCAATTCCAGTTTCGTGGGGGTTTTATGAATCAGAGAATCACAGAAAGGCCCAGGTTGGAAGGGACCTCAAGGATCATGAAGCTCCAGCCCCCCACCACATGCAGGGCCACCAACCTCCACATTTCATAGCAGCCCAGGCTGCCCAGGGCCCCATCCAACCTGGCCTTGAACACCTCCAGGGATGGACGGGGCATCCACAGCCTCTCTGGGCAGCTGTTCCAGCACCTCACCACTCTCACAGCAAACAACTTCCCCCTCACATCCAACTGAAATCTGCCCTCCCTCAACTTCAAACCATTTCCCCTTGTCCTGCTGTTATCTGCCCCTGTAAAGAACTGACTCTCCTCCTGTTTATAGGCTCCCTTTAGGTCCTGGAAGGCTGCAATGATTCACCCCGCAGCCTTCTCTTCTCCATGCTGAACAAGCCCAGCTCCCTCAGCCTGTCTTTGTAGTGGAGGTGCTGCAGCCCTCTGATCATCTCTGTGGCTCCTCTGGACCCTCTCCAACAGCTCTCTGTCTTTCTTGTAGTGGGGGCTCCAGACCAGGATGCAGTGCAGCAGATGGGGCCTCATGAGGGCAGAGCAGAGAGGGACAATCACCTCCCTGTCCCTGCTGGCCATTCTTCTGTTCTTCTTAATCCATGCTGTAAAAACCATCCTCAAGGTGCTCTCAGCTGTGCACAGCACCTCAGGAGTCTCTCTCTGCTGTGGGAATGTCATAATTGCAGGTTCACAGATCACACAGTGTTGATGAGCTCGGTGCTTCATGTAGCACAACACTCCTTTCTGTCTCCTGTCCCTTTCCAAAACAACAAGTAAGAATTCAACGTGTTGTGTTTCACATCATATTGATTGCTTTTTATAAACTCAACTTTTACTGCTCTCAAATTCGGTTATTATTCATCAGTTAACACGAGCACATCACACTGCAGGGGAAAAAACACAAACGTTTTCTAAACCCACAACACCACATTCAGAATGAACTTGGTATGGTAACAATGGCAATGTCACAAACCAATTCAGCTCTGGAAGCACCGTGTGCAGCAGGCAGGTGGCACAGGTTGGGTTTTATTGGTGTTTCTCATCCATTCTCTTTCAAAGGCAATTTTAAATGCTAAAGACTGAAGGCATTTGTTGATCACTGTAGCTGGGGGAGATGTAAGATGATCAGAGGGCTGGAGCAGCTCTCCTATGAGGAAAGGTTGAGGGAACTGGGCTTGTTTAGCTTGGAAAAGAGAAGGCTGCAGGGAGACCTCATTGTGGCTTTCAGTACTTGAAGGGAGCAGATAAACAGGAGGGGAACGGCTGTTTGTGAGGGTGGATGGTGATAGGACAAGGGGGAACGGCTTTAAAGTGAGCCAGGGGAGGTTCAGGTTGGATATGAGGAGGAAGTTTTTGAGCCAGAGGGTAGTGAGGCAGTGGAACAGGTTGCCCAAGGAGGCTGTGGATGCCCCATCCCTGCAGGCATCCAAGGCCAGGCTGGATGTGGCTCTGGGCAGCCTGGGCTGCTGGTTGGCGACCTGCACACAGCAGGGGGTTGGAACTGGATGAGCATTGTGCTCCTTTGCAACCCAGGTCATTCTATCATTCTATGATTCCTTTCCACATCTCCACATTTCACACTTTGTTATCCATCAGTCAGAGCAATGCTGGCAATTACTGGGCTCAAATCTCTGCACTTTTTGTTTTTCAGACATTTCTTTGGTCTTTCAGCTGAGCTCAGAAGTCAAGTGACACTGCCAGGAACCTTCAACCTGTGAGTCAAAGTACAGCAGCATTTAACGATGAAACTACCGAAGGAGTTCCAGCAGCACTTACCTGGGGCAGCTGCCTTCTTATATCTCACAGGTCATAAACGAAACGTTTGACAAGACGCCTACATCCCCTAACCTTGCCTTCAATATACAGCTCAGGGTTTTACTGTGTTTTTCTTTTGGTCTTTTAAAATGAAACTGCAGCAGAGAAGAAAAACTGATGTGTCAAACAAATATTCACACTGTGAAAAATGTAAGGGAGGTCTGGGGAGCCTTCAGCTGTCTTTAGCAGCACTTCCCCAGCAGTACACATGGAACCTCAAGGCATCTGGGCACCTTAAGTCAAGGCTATCTTTCATAGAATGACAGAATGGGCTGGGTTGCAAAGGAGCACAATGCTCATCCAGTTCCAACCCCCTGCTGTGTGCAGGTCACCAACCAGCAGCCCAGGCTGCCCAGAGCCACATCCAGCCTGGCCTCGAGTGCCTGCAGGGATGGGGCATCCACAACCTCCTTGGGCAACCTGTTCCAGTGCATCATCACCCTCTGGCTCAAAAACTTCCTCCTCATATCCAACCTGAACCTCCCCTGCCTCACTTTAAAGCCATTCCCCCTTGTCCTATCACCATCCACCCTCACAAACAGTCATTCCCCCTCCTGTCGAATGTCAAATATTGGAAGGCCACAATGAGGTCTCTCCACAGCCTTCTCTTCTCCAAGCTAAAGCTTTCATCTATTTATTTTGGAGATCTGGTGACAGAAGAGCCAGCAGCTGTAACTGCTGCAGAGACACCGAGGCTTTCATTCATGCTCACAGATCTCAAGCAAAAACTCAGAGCATACATTGAGATGGAAGGGAACCAGAAGGACTCAATGGAAGCATAACAGCAAAACACAAAGCTACCAAAAAGCAAACAAACACAAACACTCCCCAGCCCAGGTAGCAGTGCTAAAGCACTCACTAAGGGGAATAGCAGCTTATTAGAAAGTACAATTTTTTGCACAAGTAAAAGGCAAGCCAAAGAGCTGCCAAGTGAATCCGAGTTCAGCTCGGTGTGACCTCACAAACAGAACAAACCTCCTGCCTGCTCACTTGGAAAAGAACTTGACAGGAGCAGTTTGGAAAAAGATCAGTGCTGCTTTACGAGCAGAGATAGAAGCAGTCAAAGGCCGTGCGAGGAGCAGGGAGAGGTCATGATCAAGTGTTCATGGCACACATTCCTTCGGCTTCATGAGGAATGAGGTACCTGCCCTGGTAGCTCATATCTGTATCTCCTAGGTCCAGGTCTGGGGCCCCCAGTACAAGAAGGACAGGGAGCTGTTGGAGAGGGTCCAGAGGAGCCACAAAGATGATCAGAGGGCTGCAGCACCTCCACTACAAAGACAGGCTGAGGGAGCTGGGCTTGTTCAGCATGGAGAAGAGAAGGCTGCGGGGTGAATCACTGCAGCCTTCCAGGACCTAAAGGGAGCCTACAGACAGGAGGGGAGTCAGCTCTTGGAAAGGGGAGATAACAGCAGGACAAGGGGAAATGGTTTTAAGTTGAAGGAGGGCAGATTTCAGTTGGATGTCAGGGGGAAGTTGTTTGCTGTGAGAGTGGTGAGGTGCTG